TCAAGGTAAAAAGACTCGAGATGGCAAGTGTGCCTGGAACAGAGTTATATTTTACACAAATGAGATATGAAATTTGACTTTGGTAGGCTAGGAGAGTGTGCTGAATGGAAGCACAACGACACAGCGAACCAAAAATGTACAGGAGAGTCACGAATCGAAAGAGGAAGAAGTGCCAAAAAGTGGGTGAGTGCGTTCAGACAAAAGTTCAAATGCTCACTGTACACTACAAGTACTTCAAACAAACTACAAACTTTCATCAACAGCTGTATTCGCTCAATACTCAAGATCGGATGACCAGCCAGAAAAGATCAGCAGTAGTGAGGGATCTCTGGGAGGGAACCAATACAGAAGGAATCGATTGTGCAACAAATATGTAGGAAAAAATGCAGGTGGATTGGCCGTACTCTGAGAAAACGAACCGTCAAGTGATTAGCGTCACACGCCAACCCATCGCTCGAGTGAAACCCGAATGGGAAGCGGCGAGTTGGTCATCAGTGCGAGGGTGATGTGGAGGACATCATGTGAAGAGGAGACAAAAGCATGTGGGCAGATGTGAAGCCAGGTGATGAAAACGTTGGGAGAGAACCGATGGCAATAAAGATGTGTGGCTGAAGCCCTATGTTCCTCTAGGAACTAAAGAAAACAATAATAACAGTAATAATAATGAAACAAGTTTATGTTTATCTGAAGCACTTCTGAAACAGAAGTCTTTATACATACATATGCCGGCGTAAACATAGTCCTTTGTATAAGAGTTCTCTTAAAAACATCTTCACATTTCTGAATCTTCCAAGTTGTGAATTTTCTTTTTGCATTTATGGAAATATTATTAATAAGAGTTAATGGGTAAAACATATTGCCATGGTAGATTCAGAGTGACTATCATTTCCTTTTGTACACAAAGACCTGATTTATAAACTCTGATTGCGTGAAACTCCACAATGGCAAGCATCTTCCTGTTTGTTTGAATGGTGACAACAGTGAATGACTTGACAGCACTTCAAATATCATGTCTGTAGTCCACAAGATGCCTTGTTATTGAAATTTTAGGCACTTCAACTTGAGCTGTTTTCAACCACCTTGACAAATATTCAATTATTTAAATAGACGGTCACCTTTCCGTACTACCTATGTATTTCAAGTGTCGAGCATTGACGACTTGTCTTTCCCAGATTGTTGAAGCACTCGCTTTGCGGTGTTAAGAAACATAAGTTTTGCAGCATAATAAGTCCTCTTGATAGTTTTACCAAGTCTTCGTTTGACTACTTCTTGAACATCATCTCCTTTGAATGGTAAACTGATATTGACAGATTTCTTCGGAACTGTTTGGATAGTCTTGCAGGGATTTACATCTTTAGGGTACTTATCAACGAACTTCTCAGGATATCCCTTATTAGATAAAATATCCTTCAGAGCCTTTATTTCATGTTTAGTAGTACTGTCAGAATAAACTTTTCATGTTCTCTTGAACAGTGTTTTGACTAATTTCATTTTATAGTGGACTGGAATAAAATTTTTAAAATATATGTACTGTCTTGTCCACGAATCAATTACGCACAGTTGTTTGTAGTTAATTTTCTTCAAATTAAGTTACACTGTCAGTGTCTTGAGTCCCGAGTAGGACATAGCGCTTCACTCTTTGAAGTTCCATTAGTTTGTTTGCCAGCCTCATGCCCTACCTTGCCTTTTCTTCGGACCCACCATCAACTAGTGAACTAAGCATCAGCCAGGTATTGAAACCGGACGATGTCTGTGGCTTATGATCATTTTACCAATGAATCAGTCACTTTAGTCACTCCTTGAAGTGGTAACACTGTAGAACTTTTACAATAATGGAAAGTGAAACATACGCCTCTATAATCTACAGAGTTAAACTCAGACCTCCTTAAAGCCTACGTCTTCACCACATAATTGTAACTGAAGCATTAATAGCCTGTGTGAAGGAAAACTTAAAGTGCTTACTCAAGTATGATTGTGTCGAAGCTCCCTTCTTTACAACTCGAAATGAATTCATGAACCACTGAAAAAACGGCAGTATTGGACATCTCTTTTGCCTTAGTTCAATAAATTTTATTCAGCATGCACGCATAACCCTAGCCATCATAGATCCGACTAATGAACTTCCGTTGATGATGCAGACCAGTTGATTACTCAACTACTTGGATGTAATGCATTCACCCAATATATTTGAGCTTCTGCCAGTTTTCGATATACACCCCTACCACTAACTATTTTTAGTGCACGTTTATTAACTGATTAATTCTTTCAGATAAATTCTCTGAAATCATATGATTAGATGAAATCTATGGATTTCCAGCAGCTCTTCCTTCTTCCTTCTGTTACCTGAAAGTGATTGACAGGAATTGGCTACATTTTGAGATTTCAACTGATAATCAATCATTCATTATAAGATAAGCGCTAAGATTTACTCAATTTCGTCCATATGTCACTTTTAAGGTTTGCTTTATACGTGAAATACCACTGAATTTATCGTGTGACTCTACATCTGTAAAAGATAAGCTCCCCATCTGACCGCCTCCATGTGCATCTATCATTTCACCTGCTCTTGTGGAGCAAGTTACACTGGCCGTATTCAGAGGACGCTTTCCACACGGATACGAGAACATATTCCAGCTGCAGGTTTCAGAAGGGAAAAAGAAAGTGTGTGCGAAGCTCTATTCTGGAACACCTGATCGACTTTTGTCACTCTTTCAAACCCTGACCATGACTTTAAGATCATATACAGAATCCATGCTAATTTCCCGCGTTTTCTTCGTTACAGACTTCTAAAGACAGCTGAGGCCTTGGCAATTCATGAATTTAAGCCAGCCAGACCTTTGTGTACAAAAGAAGTTTGTACAATCCCTACTTCTGCCTTGGCCGTAGAGGGATAGACATTTATTTATTTTGTTTATTTAGTTATTCTATGTACCTTACCCTTATTACTACGATTATTACTGTTATTCTCATTATTATTATTATTACTATTCTAACTCTGAATTGTTTCTACATGTCATTTTAAACCCAAAAATTATTAATTTTCATATATTTCATTTTTACAATATTGAATTCTGTCTTATCAAATTTCACACCATGTTATGTAACATTTTATATTCGTCTACTAATCTTATAATTATGTACCCCTTTTCAAAATTCTATACACCTTATGTATTATTCTATATATGACATTAATTATTGTGCCACTTTACATTACACTATGATTATAATCACAAATATTTTAATTGCATTTCATACTATTATTATTTCATGTATTCACACCCTTGACCTAATTCCCTCTCTGGATATAATTTCTTAATTAAAAAAAACCATATATATATACGGTTGTACAGCTTGATAATAAATTCGTTGAAAAGAGTCTCTTCGCTGAATTTTGTGTACATAATGATTTCTTCACAGATTACTAAAAATATGACACGAAATTTTACCGGATAAAACAGTTGTTATAAATCAATGTTAGATTACACAAAACACCTCGGTGATTACCCAACTCTTTCTGTGAAATGGTTGGATAGTGATTAGTAACTATGAATTAAGTTGGGGAAATTTTTGTACCACTAGATAACCGTCAACAGAGAACGTCGTTTTGAATAATTCCACTTGTGTTTATGTAATTTACAGTCATTTCATGTGGTATGTGATACCCATTTAATGTTTCTCAACTGTAAGTTGTGTAATTTGGTGGATGACTACCAGCAGTGGAATCTGCCAGGATGCACACTTCATCCTTTACGGGACTCATTAGTACAGTATACCTGCATTTCCAGTTAGTGAGTTTATTCCCGTAGAGGCCCTAACCCAGTAACTGTTATCCACTAAACCAAATGGGAAAGCGAGACACCTTTTGTGGAACGAGTATCTTTTTTATTGGAATTTTGATCATCCTATTGATTAGATGAACTGAAATTTTTGGTCTCTGTTTACTTGCTGGCTGGTAGTACGCTCTACCGATGTCCAAGGATTAACTTGAAGTAGTGTGGCGGGTCTAGCAGTGGAATCTAACAGGATGAGCATCTCACCTCACTTGGGACTCCTCACCTGGGTGTATATATGTTTTCGTGTACTTGTGAACGATTCAAATAGTTACCAATCTAGACGAAACCGTGGTCCAAATAACAAGAACCAGCACATAAGTACTAAAAACAACCAAACATTACACTGACTGACTGAGCTCTGCACGCTTGTAGAAGAAAAATGGGGGACCATCTTTTTCCTGCAGCCCACAGAAATACCATTAGTGTTTTGTAACCGTAGACAAGGAATAACTGCTTAAGGCCAGTTACATATAGCCTCCTTGAAGTGATTTTTAGAATCGTTTCCGTACAAAGATCCTACCATGGACTACGGAAACCTACAAGGTAGGTTGGAATGTACAGGCTTTTCGGGAGACCTTTTCTAATCCTACATTGCTTACCAGAGAGGATAGGCAACATAACTAGCTTGCTGATCCTCTCAATGGAAGCACCCTACGGCTTCCGCATCCCTCAGACTCTCAACATAGTTTGAGTAACTTATACTATGGGGGGAATCACTTGGAATCTAAACGCATGTTAGGACTTGCAAGATAGTTCATTCCTGCCGGTGTAGCTTCTTGGCTTATCAAACCAAATTAACGATGATCAGTAGGATAACACTAAACTGACTACATAAACTTCATTTTCTAACAAGTCCACTAAAATTTACCGAAGTTATTAAGTTTTTCGAATGCAAGTACTACCAAATAAACACTGTGCTATATTTTCGTCTAATATCATCTTTGTCTGAATGCAGTTTCAGTAGACCCAATGAAACAAGCGATTAAGACGTTCTGACACAACTTCATATACTGCACTCTGAGAAACGTTGACATGTAAATCAAAAATATATATATTAAGAACCTGTATATATCACTAACAAATAAAAAGAATTTCATTGGAATTCCTCCTTCATTTCTACATTCACCCATGTTTTATTTTTTTTTATTCCCTGTAAATGTCTTTCAGGAAACATTCAGAATTACGAATTGAACAGGTTATATCAAGTGATAGTGGAAATTATTCATGTCGGGGAGAAAGTCAGCAAAGTCAAATTAGTAAATGGGTATTTGTCTCAGGTTAGTCTACATCTGACAAATTTTAATTATACTTAATCGTATATGTTTACTTGTTATAGGATCTAGTTATAAGATCATGATCAGAAAAGCAACAAACTGATCGAAATTTATTTATATTTAATAAGCGTTTGACCACGGATTGATATCAGTTAGAGAACCACTGGAAACCAAATGCGAGTACTGAACAGCTGTTTCATCCTAATCTGCAACTCTTCAACAGTATGCACCCATACCACGGGGTTTTGAACCCAGGACCTTTCGTTTGCAAGGCAACCTCGTATACCATTCAGCCACTGTCACCTGATTCATTGGCCAGTCAATGAATTCTAGCTTCTACCAATTCATGATTTAGCGCGAATGGCACCAACCAATGTCGTCGGTTGGAAATCCATCCTCACACTTGACATTTGGATGGACCTCACTGGTCACGACTTCTCACTAGAACTTCACGCAACTTTGTCCTGAAGCAAGTCACAAGCAAGCATCAGATTAATTTTCTTTTAGTTGGTTTGTAAGGATTAAATTTGTGTTGTTTTTACGAGTTTGCCCACGGATTGATATCAGTTAGAGTGTGTGCGTATTGCCGATGATTCCCAAACTAGGATTAAACAGTTGTCCAGTACCCCACTGCTGGTTTTCAATGGTTCTCTAACTGATACCATACCGTGATCAACTCGTAAAAACAAAACTAATCCTCACAAACCAACTAGAGAAAATTATATTTAATGGTTGTCTTTTCTCCTAAATGAAATTTCAAGTGTAAATATGTTTTTCTGAGATTTCTGGAATGTGATTTTTGTCAACTTGCCTCAGAATGAGGCCTTAAAACTTTTAATTTTTGACTAAGTATGCATTGATGAAGCAAAATCTCCTATTAATTACAGTACCTTTCTTTACCACACTGAAAATGACTTTCTTCTAGATTATTTAATTTGGCAGGATTAATCATTCCTAGGCCAAGCTAAATTTTTATTTGAATAAGGCATTTAGAAGATAAATATTATTGTGAGATGATATTGTCATTTCGTAGTTTCATTGCAACTGCTTTACAACTAACATGGTTCACAATAATATTAATAAAATAAAATGCATGACAATTACTCAGTTATATTAAACAAAAGTACCTACTAATGACCAATCATATTTAATTAAATAAGTCAAGTAGTCAGTTCACCGTAGGCGGTTGTTTTTTATACATATAGTTTGGGATGTATGTCATTAATCCCCAAAAGTGCTTCCATCACCTTTAAAAGCCAACCTTGAATTAGAGTTATGTGAAATAATTGTGAAACAGTCATTAATATTGATTTTGTGATCTGACCTTAATAAATGCTTTGCAATGGATGGTGACAGTGATGGATTTCTATTCAGATTACTTGCATTGGGATTTTCTATATGTTTTAATAACCATTTTGGAACATGTTCTTTTCGACGACCACATTGAAACTTTCTATTGGTTCTACCTATAAATGAGGGTGTCACTGCAACTACAGGTGAATTCTTAGATACAGTAAGGAGTAGAGTCTACAGAATTTCGTCCTTTAATCGTAGGTACAGGAATCGAAAATGTTGGACATGTGAGGGAAAGAGATGTGGCGTAGAATGTGTGCACTTGATGACTAACCGAAGTCTTTAAGCCGTCAACTGTCCGGATAATTGTATTGATCGCGATCTACTAGTTCGACCTACCTGGGTGACGTCACAGTCATTACATGGTATATGTCAAATTACATTATTTTTCTTCATCGAATCTATCGAGTCCTAAAGCTGACAAAGTTTATCTGTGATTGAGGTTTTTTGGTCTAAATGCCACCCCAATTGCAGACTTACTAGGAATCCTATGTAGGGTCTCCGGTCTCCCTTCTTTACGTGACAGTGTTATCAAGATCTTACGTTCCTTATTATTTGTGTTATTTTCAGTATTTCCATTATTACTCTTATCTTCCTAGGGAAAAATCAGCCTTTAAAATGCAATGATATAAAAAACTTGTACACTGTGGTAGAGTATAATTCAATTAGGGGTAAAATTTATTTCACTACAGTCTCACACTGTGTTTTACAGTAATCTTTACTGATGACCACGTTTCGAGCACAATTTAGTGCTCATAATCATATCAAGGTACTCACACAACTTTCTAACTTGGTTTATCTAACTCCATTATTTTTCATCGCTTGACTTGATTGGTAGTAGTATTTTCCATATTTCCGGTATGATTGATGAGTTATTCCTATTGCATGCGCGGGGTGTGGACTCGATGAACCAGGATTCAGTAATCAATCTCTCTCTCCACCCAACACATGCAGTAGAAATGACTAAATGCAAATATCAGAGATATGGAAGATATTTTGATTTGACACTAGTAACTAGTGTGATGCGTCTAGTCCTCTCTTTGGTAAGGTCTCTGACTGCAGCACTGGGTGACGCGAGTTCGAATCTCAGAAGGGACATCAGTTCCTTCAAGGTTGCAGATACGCCTTGCTGATGAGTGCCAACTAGCACGAAACCTAGGTCCAAGGTTTCCTTTGGCCGATTGCCTCCAACCATCTAATACCAACAATTCACAGTGCACCGTAATGGCGAGCTACCTAGCGTAGGTGGCACAGTGGCTAGGACTCTCGCCGACCATGCACATGGTCCGGGGTTCGATCCCCTGCCGGCGCACACCCGATATCTATGGTAGGCCTGAATTTGGGCTAACCGATATCCATGCTGAAAATTCCATACTTGTACTGAAAATACGGTGTGGAATCAAGCTGTAAATAAAAAATATAAAAAAAATTGTAAACATGACTGATAGAATTCAGTCTGCACCGAAGATAGGACTAGACGCATTTCACTAGTTACTGACTAGTGTGCAATCAAAAATATCCAATACAGTCCTACAGGAGGTCAGTCGCGAGCCTGAATAGCTCAGTGGTAACGTCTCTGACTGCAGCCCTGGGTGACGCGGGTTCGAATCTGAGAAGGGACAAGAGTTCCTTTAAGGTTGCAGATACGCTTTGTTGACGAGTGCCAACTAGCACGAAACCTGGGTCCAAGGCTTCCTGCCGATTGCCTCCAACCACCCAATATGGAAGATATTATGGCCACCAGTCAAATCAGAGGAAGATAATAAATAATGTTAAAATGTATTCAGTTCACATTATGACATTCTAACAAGTTACTTAATTTGACTATAAAAACACTCGTCCTATTTCCCATCTGATTGTATTTGACTGATAACACTCATATTATTATTTCGGAATGTACATTATCCTATACTGATTTTTATTCAGATGTCTAATCATCAATTTCACTCATGTATATAAATGAAGTAAAACGTTGTGTGAGTAACTTGATATGATTATGAGCAGCCATAAATTATGTTCGAAACGTAGTCATCAGTAAATAAAACTGTACACAACACTGTGTGATTGATTAAAATAAAATTTTATTCATAATAGAGTTATACTCTACCACAGTGCTCATGTTTTATACTTATATAAAAAACTTATCTTATATGGAATAAATACATCCACAATAAGGAGCAACTTATATTCTTGCATAAACGCATTTCTTGCTAACTAGCGAGTGCCAACTAGCACGAAACCTGTCGACTCCATAAAACCATCTAATACCAACAATTCATAGTGCACCATGATGGTTAGCTACCTAGCATGGTGGCCACATAGCAAACCTGACTGATAGAATTCAGTGTGTACCAAAGACAGGACTAGACACATAAAACTAGTTACTGACTAGTGTCCAATCAAAGTATCCATTTCAGTCCTGCAGAGGGTCAATCGCGAGGCTGAATAACTCATTGGTAACGTCTTTGACTGCAGCACTGTATGATGCGAGGTTCAAATGTCAGACGGAGGACATAAGTTCCTTCAAGGTGGTTGAAGAAAAGCCTTGCTGAGTGCTGAGAAGCAACTAGCGCGTAACCTAGGTCAGGCAAGGCTTCCTGCCGACTGACCGCCTCCAACTATCGAATACCAACAACCTCTTCTACCATTTTGTTAACATTAGAAAAATATTTATAGACTTAGACAAACAACTCCAATGAAAATACTTTATTAAAATTTAGAAAAACAATATGTGACATGTATCACAGTCAACATTAGACACCATAAATATACCTGTAAGTGTATGTATCGTTTTCCCTTCACTTAACACTCACAATATAACTGAAGTCCATGTGAAGTGAATAGTTATTATTATCCTTCTTCCATGCAGTTCTAAAACCCACCTTTCTTCATTTATGTCTTCTTTTTTTTAAAAATTTTGTTTTGTTTCAGTTTATTCCGCTTGTCCAGTGAATGTTTGCAATGTGGGCACATGTTTTATTATTAACAATAACACACTTTGTAGGTAAGTAAGCTATTCAGTAAGGGTTTAATTTATTTGTCTGCTTTTTTTTCTTGATGAATACTTTCCATCATTGCATTTCATTGTTTTTTTCTATTTTTTTGAAGGAATTTTGTTAATTTTATGACACTGCAATAGATAAAAAAAATAACAATAATCCATTTCTTAAGTATTGGTTTGTAGGGAATTTTGTTTCATTGGTTGGAGGATTTCATCACGATGAGCTGATGTCGGTTAGAGAACCATCGGAAAGTCCCGAAGTACTGGACAGCACCCACTGGTCTACGTGCTTGCCTTTCAAACAGAAGGCCCTGTGTTCAAACACCACAGGGTGGGTGCGCACCGATGATAAGTCTGAAACTGGGCGGACGAAACAGATCTCCAGTACTTTCAGGTTTTCCAGTGGTTCTTTAACTGATGTCAGGTCATGATGAAATCCTCCAACTAATCCACTTCTTACCGTTTAAGAAAGAACAGTGGTAGACTGCTTGCTAACCAAGCACAGTATCAGCGATTCGATTCCAGGCCTAAGCACTGCTGGTTGACAGCAAGTCTGGGAAGCCGGTAACTTCAAATGATAGAATCAACACTACTGCGCTTGAAAGCATAAAGTCTGAAATCCTTTGCTCCACTTGGAACGTGAAGTGGACAGAATCACAGACACCCATGGTATCACCGAAATATTTTGAAGATTTTTATAGTCCTTTTAGAAGTGAGAATACTGTGAAGTCTCTCTCTTTTTTTTTCTTCTGACGCACATCATAATGCACAACTACACAACTTCACTATTCCCCGCCTCTTATCTCTATGAAAGATGTGGCATTCATCCTTAAGCGAAATGGTCTTAAAATCAGAAGGATATTTTTGATTTCATCCCAAATGTAGTGTAACGCAGTGTAAAAGGAGATCAAATGGCCAGGAAGTAATAGCAACAAGAAACTAGAGGAATAAACTAACCAAGAACCCGTTGCACAACAAATAAGTAGGAGAAAGGGGAGATGGATTGGGTTCGCTATGAGGACACCGCCAAATGACATTTCCTACCAGCCAGGCCATCGGCTGAGTGGAACCCAAATGTGAAATGATGAGTTGGGCTGGAGGATAAGGGTGACATAAGGAGGAGGTCATGTGAGGAGGAGATGAGAGATTACGGACAGTCTTCCCACTCGGAACCCAAGGGAACAATAATAGTTAATAGGGTGATAGACTGTTAGATCTAACAGTAAAGAATTCTTCTGATATCAAAATCCATAAGTAGTTATCAATCACCTTATTAACACTATTCAACCTCCGAGTCTGTCTGTCTGTTTTCAACATTTCACCGATGTGCAGCAGTCCCAGGCGCTACACTCCATATAGCACACAAAGCAAGAGAAGAAAGTAGAAGAAATGCAAAATAAAGACAGTAGACAGGGATATAAGAAAAAAAATAGTTATAACGAAGAACAATATGGTTTCACTTGGTATTATAAGTCGCAAGGAGTAGATGCATTTGCGCCAGCCATTGAGAATGATTTTGAGCCATATCATCGATTGTTTCCAGCCTCCATTGGTTTCTACCGTCCCGACGGCCCCAACCAAGAAGTTTACATCTTCTTAAGTGGCTTAAGCTAACTGTAGTAGATTTCATTGACTGATGAAGCCATGTTTTGGCCTCACCACCACCAACTAACTCTTTTCCAACCTGGCCTTATGTCAGCCAACATTGCCCATCTGTCGAGGAAAGTGATCGATGGCTAGGCATGCGTAACACATGTCCTAACCGTCTCAGTCGATGTAACTTCACAGCCTCGTTGATTGATTTCCCCTCCTTACCTAGGACTTGGCGCCTAACCTCAATACTGCTTGCCCTATTATACCACTTCACACGAGAGATAGAAGGCAGGCACCTACGATCAACGACAGCTAGCCTTTTCATGTCTTCTACTCTCAATGGCCATAAAGTAGGACGGAGTGGACTGACGAGCAGTGCACACGCCCTTTAGTTGATACAATCTCTGAGTAAATTTGATGTATGCCATTTGATGGTGACACTAGATGGTAGCCGCATAATATAGATAGTTTGGAAAAAAATACAAATGGAAGTTTTTCATCTAGTTACTAAACAATGGTATAAGTTAGTAAGATCCCATAGCTTCTCTGTGCCTCACTGTGTTATTGATGGTTAATTTTGAGAAGTCTTGAATGAAACCTAGACAATATTCCAGTAATCTTTAGTTTTCTGTGGTTATTTAGTTAATGTCGGTTTGTGAATTAAGGCGCAAAGATGTCCATCTTGACTTAGAAATGCATCTGTTTGTGATTCATAGCGATGGTCGCGACTTTACATACGGTGTCATCTAGGAATACATATATATATATTTATGTACATTACGTCCTCAGGTTTGGAGTAGAACATCATATCTCCATTCAGTCCCGTTCTCTGAAGTCTTCTTTAACTGACTTCGTGCTTTTCCATAGCCTCTCAGCGTCTCTTGACACAGTCTCTTGCATGTCATCCTATAAGTGACACCCAGCTGGCCCTTTTCCATTCACGTTCCACTCAAGGTTATGCCTGGTGCGTGATGTCACTCAGCGGTCTCCTCAGCCTGTTTCTTGTTCATCTCCATTTCCTTCTGAATATCCTTTGAACAATTGGTTCTTGATTGGTTCATTGCAACAGTTCCTCATTGATCAACCCTTCTCACCAGTCATCAAATATTTAGTATGGAGAGAAGAAGCTGTTGATAGGAGTCTGAGACTTGCTCAAAATTGATTCGGTAACACTTCAATTTTCTGAACCACAAAGAAAACGGAATTGACATGATTTCTGCTAAATGAGGGTTTGTCTTAATTTTCTCATCCTGCCTAGCTTTGACATCTTCACCTGTGCCGTCTTTAGCTGAAACAATGCTGCCTCCATCAGTTAAATTCATGACCTCTTTACGAATTTCTCCTATTTATATTCGTTGATACTTGATGTTGTTACTGGTGATTTATGTTCATCACCTCTGTCTCCGCTATGTTTCTTAAACGTCCTGTGTTTGCTACATGCTTCTTCATCTAACCTGTCGGTTTTCACCTGCAAATCATTGAGTTTGTTTGACGTCAGACGAAACTTTTCTAAGGAGACTAAATCTCTGAACTGATTCTTCTAAAGTTATTGGCGTGATTTTCCGAGACAAGGTCGCTGGCTGCATCCCAAATACCTTCCAGAATGGACAAGCAGTAAAGTACTACTGTGGTGACAGCCGGATGCTAGTCAAATTGGTAGATGGTTATTTATGTCAGTGTTTATATCCTCAGTATTGGTCGTGAGAAAAATATAAACAAAGACTGATTCAACAACCAACCACAGCAGACTTTGCGTAGGCGGATACAGTTAGCATACAGAAGATCTGATATTCAAGAAACAGATACAAAGAGGAGATGAAAGATTAACTTTCAGAGAGAAACCACCAATCAGAAGACTATTTTTTTCTGCTAACAATAATCTACAATAATGTACGTGAAAAGCTATAAATATGTATTGATTTTCTTAATAAACGATCTGTTGCCTGGCCCTTGTCTTCTGTCGTTACACTACTACCATCTTTTCATTCCTTTATGTGCCCGGTGGAACTTGAAGCTTTACAATGAGAGGTTTCAGTCTTAATATTATTGTTTTTACATAATCAGGACAGTAACCTCAAACCGAACCTTCCCCGTTTCTCGGTCTTTTAATCGGTTAGTAAATTAGGTGAGGCTTATGAGTAATTCCATCGTTAATCGGTGCCAGACAGTGGACATAATTGCTAGAACACTAAAATTAGTTTCTTTAGTAACAACTAGCGAAATTACAAAGTCTGATCTGAATTACAAAAAATCTACATAAACCAAACATTTTTTGTCATTATTTCTTCTTTTTAAGATGCCCTAAAAGCCACACCGGTGACTACTGTGATCAACTTGTATCCAACGATAAAATAACCAACAAACTATTCATGAATACTCAACCAATAAAACAAAATATAAACAGTTTACAATCCGATTCCAAGCTGTCCGTATCCTCATCACCACCGCCACCTACCAGTACACTAACCAACGGGATACCAATCAGTAATGAGAATAATCATCCTCGTCAAAATATTCAACTGCTGAATGAAATAAAACGTGAAAAATTTGATTTATGCACTTTACCTGAATTTCAATTTACAACAGGTAAATTGACTTTTTCTGAGTTTTTTTTATATATACTTCAACATTGAATGATTGGCGGGAATTTCATTTTTTTTTGTCACTGGTTGTTACTCAACCATTTTATACAAAAAAAAGTTTCTCTCTATCTCCTTTGGGAATGGATGAAAACAGTTTTAATTTAATAGTTTCATTTTACTGTGTGGAGTTATTTTTTGATTTCTTTCTGAAGAGCAAAACAAGCAAAGGCAGAGGGAGAGAATAGGAGGGAGTTTAAGTCATATCGTGAAAGACATCTAGGCGATGTATGAAACTAGGCAGTTCCTTTTTTCCCCCCTGTTCAGTTTATGTGATCACTAAAAGCGCTTGGATTTTTTTTTGGGGGGGGGGTTATTCTTGCTCTAATAACATAAACTTTATTCTAAAGTTTAATATACTGAATGTTAGCAGAAAAAAAAAAGATTTTAATAGACATTTTAATTATTGGAGTAGATACATTTTTTAGCTTTGATAATAGTGTGCTTGCATATTTAAAGGCATTTGACAAGATATCAAATGAGTGGTAATGCGTATATTATATATTTAAGACCATCAGCAGTCGAAATAGATCGTTTTCTAAGTGAACAATCTTCATTTGTTTTAATCTTTTTATGGAACTAATGGAATAATGTAACTATATCAAAGAATTATTGTGGCATTCAAACTGTTTAAGTAGAAAATGAATTAGGATAAATCCAAATTTCTCTAGTTCAAAGGAGTTGTCTTATTAGATTTTCAAGGAGACATATGAAAACCAGCTATGATAAAGAGAAGCTGACAACAGTTGAAAAGATGCGATTGTTCCTGAAGTTGCGATTGATTATTAAGAGCAATAATATGGACTTGTACTGCCACCACCACCCTTTGTTTGTCATTTTCCAGCTGATCAATTATGATTGTTCAAGGGAAAGACAAGCTACCTAGCTGTGCCACTTGTATGTGTATCTAAAAATTTAGTTGCTATTTAGGGCGAACAACTAGACAACTCAATAAAGGTATTAGTGAACATCTTCCTTCATGGTTTGAAGGAAAAGGCCCAGTAAAATCTATAAGAAGTTCTGTTTTGTCTCATTAGATTGATAGCCGTCACTTGGTGGCGGACTACGAACCCTCCTTTTACACAAAGCTGAAGCTATGGGAATTCGAGAGAACGATCCTAGTCTGTGCATACAACAAGGGAAGTTTGTTCTACCTTTGTCTCTCCCTTCAACTACGCAAAGTCTAAATAAAACCCTCACAACCCTTCTTATTTTCTATTTCCTTCGTATTTTTATGATATTTATTTAAACTCTGTTTATTTATCCACTTCACTTTTAGTATTACGTAACATTTGGGGTTCCGAGAATCTCGTTAATACTAAGGACGCTCGCCGACTATGCACATGGTCCGGGTTTCCATTCCCGACCGACGCACTCATTTACCTCACCAAACCAGTAATAAAAAGCCGGTAAAATGGAAAGGTTGGGCAAGCCTCTAGCTTGAAGCCCTTTGTTCCACTGGGAACGTGAAGGAAAAATAAAAAAAATTTTGGGTTTGACCTAATTTATTTATTGAACTGTCTATAAATACACATATTACTAGCGTCGTTATTCTTATCGCGACGTGCATAAACTTTATTAGCATTACTTTTTTATCATTATAATTGTCGTTATTACTGGCATGCAAAGCATTTAACCCTTTTACTATATATATGATAACTTGATCCATAAACTCACCGTCTTTGGTTACATATTTTTTATTATAAATCTATGTAAGTTAGAGTAAAGCCTGAAGAAGATCAAATTGAAAACAATATTGTTCGTTTGCATGTTATGTTCAAATACATTTATATCAATTTCACTGTATCAAATAAACTAATTGCTATTATAATTCCCTTAGGTTCATAGGGGCTTCAACAACACATCCCTATTTTATCATGCTCTCTGTAATCTTCTCTTATGACCATGGGCACTTATCTCCTCCTTTCACGGTCTTCACTATGCCATTCTCTGATACCGAACTTACCGTCTCCCATTCCAATTCTATCCGGGTGCAAAGTGTCACATAACGGTGTCCTGGTTGTGTTTCTGATTCATCTGCATTTTCTTCTGCATATATGTTTAGCAATAGGTTCTTGGTCGATCCGTTCCCAGAGATGGCATTACGTAATAGTTGTAAGAATGTCTTAATCAGCCTCAGGGCGGAAAAATGAACATAGGAGTGGGAACGACCATAGACGTTTAATGAAATGTGTTTAGAGAATAAAAGGTTGTGAGTGAAAGGAAGAAAAGTAAAAAATAAAAATGAAAACATATATACATATATCTAAACAAAATTATTCTAGGAATAATAACTTAAACATGTGAGTATACACACTGTTCTTTGTCACAGATATGAGATTTTAGATGCCAAGTTGTCAGTCATTTAGTTGTAGGTAAACGGCGTATTCGAAGTGCTTTTGTATAAAAACAAAAAGACTCATTCTTCTAGAGCTCAACATAGTGAAAACCGACACAGGCTAGACATTTTATTATATTCAATAGCCCTGTCTTGCTAGTCATATTAAGGTCGTTGGATCATTTTCTGATCCGCTAAGTAATATCATCTTCCATTTTTTAACCCTCAACCCATATCCTGCTTTGCAGACAACTCCTCATATTACGTAAGCTATTTTCTACTGTACAGCTTCCGACTCTAGGTTTTCTGGGAATTTAGAACTACTTGAAGCCGTCAGATTTTCCTCATGAATCAACATCAGATAGTGACATCACTGAAAACCAGAAAGTACTTGACAGCTACTTCGTCCATTCTTCAGACTCTTTATCAGTGTCCACCCACGACCGCTCTAGAAATCGAACTCGAGAGTTTCAGGTTTCGGGGCCAGGCTCACTAACGATTAAGCCATTTAGACTGAAATTTAATGAACACTTAATTCCTACCTTTTCAACTCATGAGATAATGCTGGCTCCCAGATGCCTTCAAAGAATATCAACTTTACTTTGATATTGTGAACAAAACAGATGTCCGATATTAAATAAATATCGGTATTTAAGTAATTTTTATGAATACGGTCCTACGGCTTTAGAAAATGATACGTTGGAAATACCATTTTCTCTCTTTTTATGTCTTCTTATCCTGTGCATGTCTTGTTATTATAGCTTTTTATTGCACACTTTTTATAACAAGACAACAATTCAAAAATGACAACAAATGACTAACGGCTTTTCAACAATTCAAGAAGTACACACTGAACAAATACTACAATATTATTTGGTTTCATTGGCTCTTTTCAGTTGAATGCAATCAGAAACAATATTTCAGTGTAGATCCCTTCATAAACCATCATCAGTTAGAGTTTCATTGAAAATCAGATAGCGACAGATAACTTTCTCGTTCTAGCTCGCAACTCTTCTGAAGTACGCACGCCACATCCCATCCATCAGGTATTGAAATCAGGAGATTCTGAGGCCACAAATTCACTCCATTGAACAATCAATCTCTAGGATGAAATCCGGTGGCCCATGAATTCTTACTTGTAACACTAACATCACGACTTCTTAATAGAAATTCAAGCAACATCATTTCACTGTCGGACGCTGACGAGCACTTTCGATTTGTAGACGTTTGACTGGTTTAGACGTAGATTAAGATTACTACTGAATACCAAGGGTTACTGCATAGCTGTTTGAAAGAACTCTTTTGGTGTAATAGCTTTGCAGAATCACGTACATCATTTTTTTGAATGCAAAATATACCAACACAACTTGTGACCAGCCTAATAGCATAAAATAAAACTGGATAACACTGCAACATCACGAAGTGGTATTTAAAGTCAATCTAAAAGAAGAATATTCTTTTCAATAATTTCTCTTCAGGTGCTTACAATCATAAAATATATTATTTGTTGTCGTTACCATTAATAATGATCAGTTATGCGGCGGATACATTTTTCACTGTAGAATAACAGATTAGTTATGGGGTGTCAAAATAAATAGTCGTATTTGTGTGACAAACGTGCTAGTTGGCTGAAATCGATTACAAAATATTGTAAAATGGGAGACAATGGTGGTGATTAATCGTCATAATAGATTAGTGGAATGTGGGATAGGAAAAACTGACAAGTCAGTCCGAGGTTATAAAAGGTGTCAGGTGACGGAGTGGCTAATACAAAGTGGTATGTTTTAAAGAGGAGGAGATAATAAGACTGCAATAAGAGGTTCATCATGAAATAACGAATGTGTGAAATGAAACAGATGGAGGCATATATTGAGAAAAGAGATAGTATCACTAATAATAAGTCCGGATAGTATAAATGAAAAATTTGATAGTATTGAGAGAATGTTTGAATGAAGGGTATAAATTATGATGAATAACAATAACCGTAATAATAAGCAAAGAATGAGAGAAAGCCAAGAGGATTAAGGGGAAGAAGCACTCTTGGTGAGAAGAAGAATCATTAATCCAAGTTTGACCACGGTAGGAACAGCGTCTGGACGTATTCTTTTTGGATATATAGTTCCCATGAAGTCGATCTTATTGCAACAACTTCAGATATGTGTAAGAGACGTAAGCGAACTGTACGTGATAACGACTTCAGAATTCGGTATATAACCCTGAAAGCTGTGTTGACGTCAATGCGATTTCCAGTATCGATCAAGTGTGTCAGGATGCACTTAATTTCCCCCCTGCTGAACCAAGCTGATAAATGTTGTCGAACCCGTAGACGAACCTGCCTAATCGTGCGCCCTATATAATTTGAACCTCAGGAACACTTGAAATGATATACGCATAAATGGACATTATTCTAACGACAACAAAAATTATATTTTATAATTGTAAGAAAGTGAAGAGAAGAAATTACTGAAAAGAATATTTTTCGTTCAGATTGACTTTCAATATATGTAAAATGCTTAATGTGCCCTTTTTTTTACTTCTGTTTTACAGACTGTATGCCCGTCAAAAGTCATTTAACAACTTTCATAGGCACTGCAATCACATGCTCTGTATTAATATTACTCCTGACATTCTGTGCTGCTTATATCAGGTTTGTTAGTTATTATTACTATTATTATTGTCACTTATTGGAGTACTTTTCTATGACGGTTATGTGGTACCTTAAATCATGTTTAAAATATGCCTTTCATTGTGTCGTTTGCATTTAAATGTCCATAAACGTTTGAGGCAAAATCGGTGTTTCACACACCATGACTTAATATTGTAATAAAACATGAAAGCAATCAAATCTTCACCTACCAAAATCTGGAAATTGACCTAATGCTCACTAGTGACTGAGAACAGTATGAGTTGTCTTTACTTTCAGTGGGACGTCATGATAGTGGGATCAACCGAAACGGTTGTGTAGACAGGTACTTGCCAATGACAGTGTCCAGCGCTTGCGCCATACATCCTGAAATGGTAGAAGTTAAAATTCACGAGCCAAAGAATTACCTCTCAGTAGATGGAAGCTGGACGAGATCGTCTGATTTATTGAATGCCTTGAGCTCGATACTTCATAGGTGAGGTGACTGTTACGTTCCGATAAAGAGAAGCGAACCTGGTAACTGGATGTCTTTGTTCTTTCTTTCATTTGACTACATAATCTTTAGCTTTAACCTCACCCCTTTGATACAGCATAATTTTGCTTGTCTCTCGTTTCTCTGGTTTGAGTTGAACGCAGTACACTGTTACCTAAATAATTAGTTACTCAGCATTTTACGCATCTCTCGTTTTTATTGGGCAACTCCTCTACTATTCTATGCACACATTTACTTTGTTTAAACTTGAACTGTCTGTGTAAAAACTACATAAGCTTAATGTTCTAAGCACTGTTCACTAATTACGGAACTTTCTGTCAACTGACATCATAAGAAATTTGCAAGTATCTTAAAACTTTTCTGTACATAAACCTCATAATTTATTTAGGCTGTAAGCAGCTGAGCTGATGAAAAGCCAGCGAAATAAATGATGCTACCATAATATTCTGCACAAACCACTGTTTTTCTTGCTTTATTCAAATGCATCAAGAAGAATAAATGCATTAAATTTTCTGAAAAATCTCCTTCCCGCAGAATCTTTCAAATCACTGATATATATATATTTATATATATACACTTATTTATTGAAGAAATAAGGTAATTACTGGAGATTTGTTCATCACGTCAACACTCAGTTCAAATAATGTGCAGTTATGTCCCACGGCAGTATCAAAATTCCACTCTCACATTGGCTGAAACTGTTCTGTCTGTTTCCTGCATAAGCACAGTTTCATCACTCAAATTATAATCCCGCTCCGTCATATGAAGATTGCCATAACTTTACACAAAACGGAGAATTCACACATTTAGGCAATACATAAAATTTATAGTACCACAAATTTATACGTATAATTCATGTGAGATACGTGTGAACAATACAATATGAAGTTTACAATGAACGGCAAAATCCAGAAGTTTTCCCAATCTGAAAGTCTCTTTCATCTAGACAGTCTGGGTATCAATAACTTTAATCAATAAAAAGTATTCTCAGAGAATAAAATTCTCATTGTAACGATGTCGTTTTCATGGTTGGAAAATCATATTTAAGGATGAATTGCAATAGATAATAACGAGTAAATTTAGTGTGTCTATTTTCAAATGTTCGACAATGAGTGAGAATACTGAGTCGCAATAAGAGATATGTATAAATAGATGATAGGAAGGTTTAATTGTAGATGATGCTGGTTTCCTTATCTTCCGCCACTGCGTGTTCTAGACTAAAACAATTTTCCGGGTCTAGACATGACCTCTGTTTGAGACCGTTTCCAACGTTTTCTATTGACTTCAGAGATGATTTTCATATACGTGGTCGGATGGTTTCCTCCATGCATTCATTGGAACTCTACAAAAAAGTAGTTTTCTTTCACCTCGTTTAAAAACCTCGGTTTGAATTCAGAACTTCAAATCTGGATTCTTAAACACACAACTGACCTTCTTTCCTCGTTCATTTTGATATATCGTCCATACTTCCTCCTACCTCCCTTTTTATTCTTTATTTTTCAGAAGGCGACGAATAATTAGTAGAGGAAAACAAGATCGTCAACATTTGTCAAAAGTGGTGAGTTGTTAACAGATACGAATTGTAATTATTAGTGTTCTCTGAGCTACAAATCTTCTCTTTTATTTCAAAATATGAATCGTATCATTTTGATTCTGGTGCAATGTTTAACAGAAATATCATAGTAAAATGCGCTATTAGGTGATTTTATACGTTTCTGTATATCTATGGTGTCCTGAATTGTGCTTTGATTACTTTGAGTAATTCGTTTGTTCACGAGTTGACATCAGTTAGAAAATCACTGAAAATCTAAGGAAATACTTTAGAGCCGTTTATTTCTACTTTGGGACTCTCCACAGTAGGTACATATCAGAAACTGAGCGCAGTCCACTAACTCGATAAAAGAGAACAGTTACTCACATGCAACATTGTCTGGTGGCTGATCTGCGTATGGCAAATTTTCAGACGTTGGAATTCATGGACTGGCCACTGGATCGGGCCCCAGTGGCTAAAACATCTATGAGTTCACGGGGTTCGAACCTTAGTGGATGTGTACTGATGAAGAATCCCAAACCAAGATGAAACGGCTATCCAGTGCTCTCTGTTTATTTCCAGTGCTTCCCTAATTGATTTCAACTAGTGGTCAAACCTGTGGCCAATCAGATCCCTGCAAACGAACACTTGAAGATTTTATTGTAGTTCATGTACAAGGAGAGAGCATTATACATAGCTAACGAACTTGGATGTATAGATCAGTAATTCTATTCATGATAAACAACGTTCAAGAACTAACTCTCCAAATAGCTTTAAAGTGCAGCTATTCTAATGACTGGTGTTAAGGTTGTCACGTGGGTAGTAAAGGGCTGGAAAACTGCTACTGATTAAAAGATTCAGACCAATTAGCCCGGTTCTTTACAGTGAGAATCCTAATGAAAAAATCATTTCTTTTTGACCTTCGGTCACCGCTGACTACATCAATAGAAGTCAGCCAACCAGCAATTACCCCTGATAGTCTTTTAATTAGTTAACAATCTGCTCAACTCCTTTTTCAGTATAATGGAATGGATAGCCAACGTGTTAGCGTTTTCATCCCCAAAAGCATCTGAACAATTTCATTCATATACATTAGTTTACAACGATACAATCACTGTTATTTAATCCCAAATCATAACTAAAGAAATTAAAAATAGTTATAATTTTTAACTTGACATGAAAGTTCGAAGGTGTGAATACAGATTATAAGGGGTTTAGAGGCAGAGTTACACAGGACTAGAAAATAGTTGCGTAATATGTACAACAGTCTTTCACGAAGACAGGTGTTAGCTAAGTGAGCACAGAGAGGAATAGGAATAATAGTTATTTTATAACTGAAGGTGAAAAAAGAATAAATGGAATAAAAAAAACCAACAAGCGAAAACTGAGGATCCAAACCGAACTAGATCCATGGCAAACAGAGATGTTGGACTAGTTTCTTTCGGACCCATACCTTAAGCTTTTCGATATTTATGGTGAAGGCTTTTGCATCAGAAAGAAGTCGGAAGGACGCCGCCTCTCACAAATTTTCGCTACTTTTGTAAGTGACTCTGAATGACGAGTCAGTTGAGGTGTTGTGACAAGTGTGCTGACTATGTGTTCGACTATAGCGCTTCTGATTAAACTAGACCCTCCCCTTTGCAGCCATCCTATGCTAGGTAATGTTCTCCAACATGTTTTGAAGTAACCTGCATAGAAAGAATTATTTAACTAGCTCCAAAGGACCAGGTGAACTGATATATGCACGTTAGAGTGGTCATATGCGGCAGTTTGTCCTTTACAATGCTTCGAAGCAGTAAGTAGCTAGTGAATATCACCCTTAGAGTTGCTGGAGGAAAGGTTTTCTTTAGGAAACTAGAGATTCTACTCTCTAGGATATCTACCGCTTATTCTACCCTGAATTCCGGATTCATATAGAGTATTTTCTTCGGCAGTGAACTGCATTCCTCACCTTTTGGCTTTGGTTATATATTCTCCCACACGAAAATTGCCAAGTATCTCCCCGCGCAGAACCTAAGAGATTTTACTCGTACATTACAATCACCACCGACTACATTTTCTGATAATCATTTATTATTCACTTTGTTCCCATCATCTAGCAACACTCTGAATCCGGAAATGTTGTTGCTGTTGAAACAACCGAGGATAAATATCACTTATCGACATTGAGTCCAAATGATGTTTATCTCAAAAATGGACCGTTACAACTAGGTCAACTGAAATCTTTGTCTTTCGAAGGTGTACTTTATACGGAATTAGCTGATAACAATAACACTAATACTAATACTACTACTAATAGTATTAATAGTAATAAAGATTTCAAATCTTATCCCAACTGTACACTTACCCCAAATTACAATATAAGTAGAAACAATTCAAACACCTTATTACAACAACCAACCACAGTGAATTCCTTGCACAGACAACAGTCAATAAACTGTCAAGTCTCGCCTACAACTTGCTCAAATACTGCCTATTTTGTTTGGACAAGCAATCCTAACACACCCGAGATTATACAACAGACGAATCAAGGGATTAGTATGCAACCATTAGGCAAAGTATTGATACACACAGATAGTCAGGGACAACAACAACAACACATAGAATGCTCAAGTGATCCATTTTCATCTGTTTCAACAATGACACGGAACTTTCCAGTCAGTTCATCAATACAGCCTTTGCCTTCAAACGATATTCTACTCAATAGTGTATCTTTAATAAATCAAAACACTATTGGCACACTTTTTTCGTCGACAACCAATGACAGTGTAACTTCAACATTATTGTCATCTGGATCTAAATTATGCAGCCCGGTGATTGCTCACACGACGGATGTAGTTAGTAAGGTAGGTTGTTTTACGATTGAGTTATATTTTCCCTTTTTGCAAGTTATACATATGCATGTATAAATTCTAATATAGTGAAAGAAACTTATGGTTGATAAGTCAGTATAGATGAAGAAGGATGAGGTGGAGATTTCCTCAATCATTCGCGTTTAGAGTGGGATTCAAGCTTCAAAGCCTGAGTGGCGTAAGGCTGTTAAGCGTACGTTCAACCTTTTGTCTTATTCTACCTTACTGTTGTTATAATGTTACCAATATTATATTTCCCAATACGTTGAGTTTAGCAGAGACTCTACTGGTCACGAATACCGCTTTGCTACCTGAAAATTATACACCAGGTAACTCTTCTCCAGCCCGATCTACTTAAACGATAACACACAAAGACGTGAGCCTGACTGACTGACTGTTTTCAACATAGAACTTTCCACAGATGTGCAGCAGTTCGAGTCACCACACTCCCTCCGTGTAGCACACAAAGCAAGGGAAGCAAGTAAAAAGAAACGCAAAATAGAGACAGTAAACAGGGATATCAGGTAAAGAGAATAGTAATATCGAAGAACCATTGTGGTAATTAGTTTTTTCATTTAGTACACTTAATAGAGAAAACAGATAATTGTCAGATGTTCATATTAAATAAATATGAATAAAAACAATTGAATGTAAATTCAGGAGGTAAGGCATTTTAACTGGACAGATAGAATGAGTTGTACTCAACAGTTATCGTTGTGTTATTAGGTGGTCGAAGATAATCGGTAGGAAGGCCTGTATCTATGTTTCTCGCTTTTTCACACTCATCAACAAGGCGTATCTTCAGTGCTGAAGGAACTTATGTCCCTTTGGAGATAGTGACCTGGAAAACACAGGGTTTCAATCAGAGATATTATCATTGAGCTATGTTGAACCGTAGTTGGCCTCATGTAGAACTCTAATTTTTTAAGCTCATGATTAGGTCTAACTGACTGGTTTCAGCGTAGACTTTGCACCGATGTGTTTTATTTATTTATTTAAACGCATTAAAACTTGGTACAATATGGCACCAAGAAGGATGCGCCACACAATAATAATAAAACAACATAGATGAAAAAAAAAGGAAGACAGGAAAACAAAATATATATATATAAGTAGAGAACGAATAATGAACTTCATCTGGAAGGAAAACACTCATTCTTAACAGGTTCAAACAGTGTTCGTTAACTATCATCGGGAATGGAAGAAAGAAGGAAATCGCAACACATTCGCCATTGATTACGATTCTTGGCCATATCCGATAACGTTTCGAGCCATCGATTTGAGCTATCTCTCAGACCCCAACCAGGGAGTCGTGACACACCAACCGATGCTAATCTAGCACAAATATCCTTCATCCCACGACGCCACGTCATGGGCTGACCACCTCTCCGCCTTTTCCAACCCGTCCCAGGGCTAGCGAACAGAGACCTGTACGGAAGCCTCTGGGGTGACATTCGCAGCACATGTCCAAGCCACCGGAGCCGGTGTTTCCAGATGACGACATTCAATGAATGGTGATCTCCACTGTGTTCAAACGCACGCCGCCGAACCTCAGAATTACTCACGCGATGATGCCATCGAACGCAAGCAATCCTGCGGAGACAGCGGTGATCGAACACGCAGAGTCGCCTCACATCCTCAGCTCGGAGAGGCCAGGTTTCACAGGCGTAGAGCAGCGCAGCCCGCACCGAAGCATTGTATACCCGACCTTTGACAGCCAGGCTAACGTCGCGACGGCGCCAGAGGTGGTTCAAGTTGATGTATGCCACCCTAGCTTTCACTATACGGTTGGAAATCTCATCCGTCACCCCTCCGCCAGCACTCACACAACTACCTAGGTACACAAACTTATCGACAACTTATAGCGGTTCACCCGCAAGAGTGAGTGCAGGTACAGGCTCCTGCCAATCTTGTAACAGTACTTTGCACTTAGACGGCGCAAAGCACATACCATACTTACAGACACTGATCGCCAACTGATTGAGTGCGATTTGGGCAGCCTGCATGCTATCGCACAGTAAGACGATATCGTCTGCATACTCGAGGTCGAAAAGTCTATCTCCAGGTAGCAGATCTACACCACCTTCACGCACATTCTTCAGAGCTGACTCCAGAATGTCATCGATGGCAAAGTTAAAGAGAAATGGTGAGATTGGGCAACCCTGTCTAACCCCACTGTTGGTTGGGAACAGTGGTGATAGTTGGTTGTATGCCCTCACTCTACCTGAGGTGTTTCTGTATAGGGCTTTCAAGATGTTAACAAATTTCTCAGGTACACCTCTCTCTAACAGACAGTTCCAGAGCACAGTTCTGTCCAACGAATCGAAGGCAGCCCTAATATCAAGAAACACAACGATCGTTGGCCTGCAATACGTGTGGCGGTGTTCCAACAACTGACGAAGGGTGAACACATGATCAATGCATCCACGACCTGAACGAAACCCAGCCTGCTCTTCGCGAATCAATCCTTCACGTATTTTGCACAGTCTGCGAAGCATGACAGCAGCCAATATTTTAGACGCAACTGGTAACAGACTGATACCCCTATGGTTGTCACAGGAATTACGTCGACCCTTTTTAAAGATGGGGACGATAATGGCTTCGTTCCACATTGATGGTACGCTCTCTGTCTCCCACACCCTCCTGAACAACCCAGTTAGAGCCATTATGAGAGTCTCGCCACCATCTTTAAAAAGAGCCGGGGGTAATTTGTCTGGGCCGGGCGCCTTATGGCGTTTCAGAACTTGGAGTTCCTTACGGACCTCCGCTTCGGTGGGTGGGTCGGTACTAACCGACCAAGGAGCACTCGGGCTAATGATAGTAGACAATGAAGCTGGTGGCCAGCTGAACTGCTTCCCGAAGTGCTCTGCCCAGCGTTCCAGGCGTCTCTTCAGGCTGGTAATTGGAGTGCCATCTGCCTCACAGACCGTCTCGCTGACACCTTGTTTCTTGCTGCCGGTGGCTCGTATGAGTTGGAACAGCTTCCGACTGTTGCCAGATGCAGCAGCTGATTCCATCTCATACGCACGTTCTGACCACCAGGCTTCGCGGTCCTTACGTAAACACTGTCTAATCTTGCGCGTGAGCGCCTTTCGCCGATTGTTGTATTCACTGCCAGCTGGAATGGACCGGCGTTCATCCATGAGTTGCAAGGAACTCGCAGAAACCCAGTGGTTGTTAGCGGAGCATTCTTTCAAGCCGCAAGCGGCTACACTAGCCTTTTGCATGGCACCTTGCACATGAAGCCAGTGTTCATCTATACTACTTGGGGGGTTAGGAAAGGTAAAATACAGGAAACTAAGTATAAAAATAAAAGTAAGGTTGGAAAGAGATATATCAACTGGGACATCATTACTGCTTGAGAGCATTGTTAAGAGCGCGCGATGAGTTTCACTGATAGTTCGTTGCTTCATTTAATTAGTTGTGTGAGGGCTGAGATACTGCCCGGGCGCCCAAACCGAAGCAGGTGGTTTTCTTAAGGGACCACCCCCCGAGCCTTTGACTTGGAGTCTAATCCGCAAGGCAGCGGAGCAGCGTCAGGTGCTGCGTTCCCATGGTTGCCGGTGACCCATATGGGTTCGTACGCCATTTGGTCCTATTGGATTCTGGAGCCCATGTACCCCATGTGTAGCAATTCGAGTCGCCACACTCCATGTACTACACAAAGCAAGAGAAGAAAGTAAAAAGAAATACAAAATAGAGATACTAAACAAAGATATAGGGTAAAGAGAATAATAATATTGAGAACAATATAGTTAAAAGGAGTGGATGAATCTGCGCCAGTCATTAAGAACGATTCTGGGCTATATTACGGGTTGTCTCCAGCCTTCATTGGATTATACCATCTCAAGGACCTCAACCAGATTTGTATTCTACACCTCCTTTGTGGCTGGCTTAAACTGACTGTTATGGATTTCATTGACTGATGAAGCCATGTTTTGGTTCGACCACCACTGGCTCGTTTCCAATCTGACCTTATATCAGCTTACATTGCCCATCGAGGAAGGCTATGACTAGGCATGCATGCGTAAACATGTCCTAACCATCTCAGTCAACGTGGCTTCACAGGCTCGGCGATCGGTTTCTCCTCCAACTCTCCTAGCACTCGACTGATGGCTGACACGGGAGATTTAACACAGGCACTTATGATCAAAAACAGCTAGTCTTTTCAAGTCTTTCACTCTCAATGGTCATGTGTCGCTCACAGCCGTAAAGGAGGATGGAGTGGACAGTAATAATGTATAATTCAAAAAATCAGCAAGATTGTATCAATTGATCTATATTAACGATCAATAAAGTGGTGGGCGTTATTTTATCCAGAGCCGATTCTGATTGGTTTATTTCCAGAGTGACCTTGATCACCATATCACCAATAAAGCATATTCCTCTGTTTACTGGTCTTCATGTCAACTATGCCTTAGTAAACTAGGCAAGACTTAGGAGTGATTCAGTCAGGAATCGTAGCCGAACCGTGTGTATGGTCGGTGAGCATTCTACATTAAACCATCTTTTCAAGGATGACGAATCTATGTAAATCTGATTTGGGATTATTAACCAATACATAACCATGATCTTGCATGGAAGTGAACCCGAAAGCGTTCACCAACTGTAGAAATGCCATCAGTTTCCACTACAAAAGCAGCAACATATTTTTGTACGTTCAGTTAAAACAGCACGCTGAACACAAATGTCCTGATTTAGAGATTTAATTGAAACTAGAACAACTCAGCCTTGAAATAAAATCAAATTTTAAAAAAACCCGCTCTTGGTTTTGCTTTAATTCAAACAACAATGGTTATAAGTAAAAATTTGTAACTAAAAATTGTCTCACCTTGCTTGTTTGATTGAAATGCGTGAAATTTAGACGTCCTGTAATTTTTGTGCATTTAGTGTAACGATAATGTCTGATTATAATTAATTACTTGTCACATTTCCATATCAGATAACTTGAAGAGTTCAGTCTTGTAATGCTCAAAAAAGAGGACAAACGTGTA